TGATTCAATATAATATTTCCACTTCATTTTAGCAGAAAATGATAGCCCGAAAAGGTGCAACAAGTCACTAACCTAGAGGTTAGCATAAGCCATGATAATGAGAAGCAAAATAACTTCACTATGATGATGAAAAGACATCCGAATCGAATAATTCCGCATCTGTCTATATCTCTGAGATGAGGTATTATGATTACTTGCATTATTCAGACTGTTATCCTCATCTTCACTGCCATATTCACAGCGTTTCGGCCTCTATATCTCTGAGATGAGGCATTATGATTATTCGCATTATTTACATTATTCAGACTGTTATTACATCTTCATTGCCATATTCACAACGTTTCGGCCTCTATATCTCTGAGATGAGGTATTATGATCACTTGCATTATTTACATTATTCGGACTGTTATCCTCATCTTCACTACCATATTCACAACGTTTCGGCCTCTATATCTCTGAGATGAGGTATTATGATTACTTGCATTATTTACATCATTCGGACTCTTATCCTCATCTTCATTGCCATATTCAGTACGTTTCGTTCTCTAAATATTTGAGAAGAGGTATTATGATTACTTTCATTGTTTACATTATTCGGATTGTTATCCTCATTTTCATTGCCATATTCACAACGTTTCAGTTATTGGACGGTCCGGCCTTCTTCAGGTGATTAGATCTCTGAGATGAGGTATTATGATTACTTGCATCGTTTACATTATTCGGACTCTTATCCTCATCTTCACTGCAATATTCACAAGGTTTTGGCCTCTAGCTGGTATCTTGAACAAAATTACTCCTGGCGGTCAAGGATAAAACGCAAAAAGAGGAAATCAGTAGTCACAATGTTTAGAAACACGACCTCATACATGGTCGGTCGTCACCCGGGGCAACAATGGCTGCGTACCTCAGAGATGAACCAGTCTCGGTCCGAAAAATCTGTCACAGGAACAAACTCTTATAAAAACTATAAGGTACCTGATCATCAAACGAGGACTAACTCCAACCTTGTACCAATGTGAATCAATGCCATATCAATAACTAAAAATAAAACGAAGGAAATGGAATCGTGAAGAGACATCCTTCTTCACTGCATTCGAAAATTCACGAAAGAACATCACGGATCAGACATACCAAATATGGCGAACTATGGTAGGAACTGGAATAAGAGCCTATATCAACACAAACATGCTTGCCAATGTCCACAGGGACACCGTGCGAAATACAAGATTATAAAATGCAGAAATAGATAAGACAAAACAATATATAAGACAAAATACAATAACCTACGATTCAAAAAATTCGTGGTAGGGTTGGAAATAAATAACATGACAGAGGTTGAGGAAAAATTTAAAATAAATGTGATACGAAATAATAACCTTTCAGGAAATAAAATGGAAGAATCTACCTGTGACATAAAAGAACTTCAGTTATTCACAGTATGTCAATGACGATCAGTCAGACGACATTGGGGCAGAATACCTTGAAAACAACAGAAGCGAAATCCCAGAAGCGAAAATTCCACATCATTCAAATACTCAACAGAGTAACATGAACACAAATGTCTGACAGACTAACTCCCAAAACTCCATGTGACAAAGTCCAATAAAATTAATGTGCAAACACGTAACGCCGTCCTGCAATCACTATCAACAGAGAAACCGCTAGTAAAAGTCACACAAATAAATGATGTCATATAGGCAACAGTTTCAGCTGTTTCTGGGAAGCCTGGTGTCAAAACAAAGGAAAGGACAAACAACATACCAAGTTAAAGCAAGAAATAGAGGAAATCAGATGTGAATTATCGACACTAGATGAGATCTCATAAACCCTAAATATATCAACAAGCAAATGCTTGAAGATCAAACGGAAATTACTAAATAAATTTCCACCCATCAAAGAATTGCTTAAACAGAAACTGTAATTAAAAAAAAAACCTTGAAGAAAACGATATGAAAACGATGTAGGTTCTATCCACAAATTAAGATATTCTAAGAATACTGGATAATTATTTGTCAAAGAACATGAAAGAAATAAGAAATCTTATTCAGTAAGAGCCAACAAATTCCGAAGGAAATTTCAAGTGGTTGAAGATGTGTAAATAAACCATAATATAACTCTTGCAGTAGCAAAGAACCTAAAAAAGAGAGCAAAAACAAAAGCAGTGTACCTAAATCAGAAACAATTACAAGATAAACCTCTTTATGTGCCCGTACCAAACGACGTACTCATCAGTGGTTACGTATTTCAGGGTTAAAAGCTGAAATCGAAGATTTTATTCTTGCTACACAGGATCAACGCTCGCTAACTAAAACAATATAAAGCACACATACTGAAAAATTGTGTTGACCCCAAATGTAGACTATCCAGAACAACTGAACATCTTGCACAGTGTTAGCACGAACTGAATGTAAAAGACTGCTTGATTGGGTGGGTCAACACCTGCAATGGAAAATATGCAACCTTTATGGGAAGGAAACTGCAAGAAACTGGTATGGACATCACACAAACCTGGTTACAGAGCTAGGACTTATAACAATTTTATGGGACTTTACAATACACACAAACAGAACAATCAAATCTCAATTGGAAATCTAACGAATGTGGTACATCAGTGCATTAATAATTCCAGTTATATTTGAAACCATCTGATTGGCTGGAAAAGGTTACGATAGGCTCATTGATGGGATTTTTGGTAGCCCATGCTTTAAAGAAATACAGTTATAACAAATTAAGGATAGGAGATGAGTAAATTGAAAAGGGACTTCTAGGTATAGCTTCCCTCAACAACTTTCTTTGCTACAAAACAAAACAAAAAAAAAAGAAGAAAACATTGCCCTAAAAACTCGAGTTATATTCGTAAATATACCGACCGATCAGAATTGCCACATGGTTATCATGCATAGCATCAAACTCATTCTTATATATCTAAACGTTCAGCCTTATGAAGTAACTTTCTCGGATCAATGACGAAAAATGGATTTCATCGAATGTAACCATTTGTTTTTAGCGAGTACCATACTTTTTCGAACCTATTTGTTTGGCGCTACAGAATCTCAAGTAACTTTACAAAATAACAAACACCTCACCATCTGAGGACTTTTTACCAGCACATAATAATGATATAATTTTCTGGCCTCGCCCACAACTTCAAGCGAAAGGTTAGTCAGCAATCCCTCATCAATACTGTGAAGACCGATAATAGCGAACTTAAGAAAAACTTATTTTAATAGAAACATTGCCCGTTTAGTATCTCTCTAATATTTCCATATAAGGAAAAGGCTAATATTACCAATGCAATTATATAGCGTCATGTTTGTTTCTATAAAGATATGTTTTATAATAATGACATGCCGAACATTCTACTGAGAAATGACTCTTGAAATGAAACTAGTTTGAGCGATTATGCGCCTCACATAATGCAGGTCATAGTGGAGAATCTAGATATTGAAGTAGAAGGAAGAAGCAAATATTTCAGGTGAATGATGCGATTTGATTTGTGTTTTTCTCATGTTAGCGCCATCACTTCTCAAGAATAACCAGGCGTACGTAATCTAGTGGCGATGTTATTTTTTTTCTAACTTAAATGAAGTAAATGACTCTTCTTAAATATTCAAAGTTTCTACTCCAATATTCATGGTGTTCATTGAAGGCCGCTTTTTCTTATTGTCATTGTCACTTCAATTGAACTGCGACTTTGCAACACCGACAAAGCAATGTACTGCCTATTGTAATGCACATATGCACTCACCTTCATTAAGCATTACATGTTTTGCATCTCAATATCTGTTCTTTTGACCAATCATAATCAGGGAAGCCCCGTTCACTTACCGCTTTCGTAATTTTTGACCGCCAAATAAATTTTCATTTTGCTGTTTCCATCTTTGGAGAAAACCGCCCATCGGTGGCCATCAACCGAAAAGTCGTTTTGTTTCCGTTTGAATCTTATAAAAATCATTAAAATGTTTTTTTGAATGTTATAAAAATCATTAAAATGTTTTTTTGAATGTTATAAAATCATTTACATGTTTTTCTGAATGTTATAAAAATCATTAAAATGTTTTTTTGAATGTTATAAAAATCATTAAAATGTTTTTTTGAATGTTATAAAATCATTTACATGTTTTTTGAATGTTATAAAAATCATTAAACTGTTTATTTGAATGTTATAAAATCATTTACATGTTTTTTTGAATGTTATAAAAATCATTTAAATGTTTTTTTGAATGTTATAAAATCATTTACATGTTTTTGAATGTTATAAAAATCATTAAAATGTTTTTTTGAATGTTATAAAATCATTTACACGTTTTTGAATGTTACAAAAATCATTTACATGTTTTTGAATGTTATAAAAATCATTTAAATGTTTTTGAATGTTATAAAAATCATTAAAATGTTTTTTGAATGTTATAAAATCATTTACATGTTTTTGAATGTTACAAAAATCATTTACATGTGTTTGAATGTTATAAAAATCATTTAAATGTTTTTTGAATGTTATAAAAGTCATTTAAATGTTTGAATGCTATAAAAGTCAAATAAATGTTTTCTGTCCTTTTCATTCTATACATCAGCACAAAATACAGGATTCTGGTTCATCTGCTTATATATCGCTGACAAGGATATACATATTTGTTACGAGGCAGTAGCTAACATTCTTACATGTCAGTGGTCAACATTTTTTATCTCGTCTGTATATATATATATATATATATATATATATATATATATACAGAGCTAGTTCTCTTTTATCCATTTACGTTCTCTGTATTAACTCACTATATCTTTGCGCTAAACACTTCTAAATTTAGTTTGGCATTTTGCAAGGTTATTCATTTCGTATTCAAAGCATGCGTTTCTTTCTGTTTTCCAAAAAATATATTCCATTTACATTAACTTAATTTTCAGTTCTTTCTGTTTTTTTGTCTTGCTTCTTGGAGTCGTAATGTTTATTGGCTTTTAAATCAGAGAGTCTTGTTTTTTGCGTCTCTGCGTGTGTAATGTTTCGGACTTGTAAAAATAGATCTTTTCTTTTGTCTATTGCTTTTATTTTTCTTTCCTATCTATTTTTCATATTAAGATTACTTTTCTATTTTTTCTTTATTCTTTTCATACTCATTTTTAGCTCACTTTGTTTTCTTAATTCGTTTTCTTTTTTTTTTTTTTTGCTTCTTGTCTCTTTATCTCTTCTTTCTTTCTTTTTTAATTTTGATATTGTTATATTGTTATTATAATATATAATATTGTTATAATATATTGTTATGTGGTAATTGTTATATTGTTATTCTACCGTTTTGGGGAATCTATTTTCTTCTCTGTTTTGGCGTCGTCAATTCATTCTTCATTTCTTTCAGACTTTTACATTCTTTTTCTCCTTACAAGGACAGCTTTTCGCAAACAAAATATTTCTTCTTTCTTTTTTTGTCAGATAATTATTTTTTCTTTCTTCTTTCTTTCTTTCTTTATTTATCTGCTTCTTTCTTTCTTTTTTACTTCCTATTTCTTTCTTTTTTCTTTCTCTCCTTTTGTTTTTTCTTTCTTTTTTCATTCTTTCTTTTTTCTTTCTTTCTTTCTTTCTTTTTTCTTTATTTCTTTCTTTCCTTCTTTCTTTCGTTTTCTTTATTTCCTTTTTTCTATTTATTTATTTATTTCTTATTACGTTTTTCTTTTTCATTCTTTCTTTCTTTATTTATCTGCTTCTTTTTTTTCTTTCTTTCATTCTCTTTCTTTTTTTCTTTCTTTCTTTCTTTCTCTTCCCTTGTTTTTACTTTCTTTTTTCTTTCTTTCTCATTTCTTTCTCTCCTTTTCTTTCTTTCGTCTTTCTTTTTTTTTCTTTCTTTATTTATTCATTATATCTGCTTCATTCTTTCTTTTTTTCTTTCTTTCATTTTCTTTCTTTATTTTTTTTTTTTCGTTCCTTAATTTCTTTCCTTCTTTCTTTCTTTCTTTCCCTTCCTTTGGTTTTACTTTCTTTTTCTTTCTTATTTCATTCTTTCTTTTTTAACTTTTTCTTTCTTTCATTCCTTAATTCCTTAATTCTTTTCATTTATTTATCTGCTTCTTTCTTTTTTCTTTCTTTCATTCTTTTTCTTTCTTTTTTCTTTCTTTCTTTCTTTCTTTTCTTATTTTTTCTTTCTTTCATTCTTTCTTTTTCTTTCTTTCTTTCTTTCTTTCATTTTCTTTCTTTCCTTTCTTTATTTATCTGCTTCTTTTTTTTTCTTTCTTTCATTCTCTTTCTTTTTTCTTTCTTTCTTTCTTTCTCTTCCCTTGTTTTTACTTTCTTTTTTCTTTCTTTCTTATTTCTTTCTCTCCTTTTCTTTCTTTCGTCTTTCTTTTTTCTTTCTTTCTTTATTTATTCATATATCTGCTTCATTCTTTCTCTTTCTTTCTTTCATTTTCTTTCTTTATTCTTTTTTTCGTTCCTTAATTTCTTTCCTTCTTTCTTTCTTTCTTTCCCTTCCTTTGGTTTTACTTTCTTTTTCTTTCTTATTTCATTCTTTCTTTTTTAACTTTTTCTTTCTTTCATTCCTTAATTCCTTAATTCTTTTCATTTATTTATCTGCTTCTTTCTTTTTTCTTTCTTTCATTCTTTTTCTTTATTTTTTCTTTCTTTCTTTTCTTATTTTTTCTTTCTTTCATTCTTTCTTTTTCTTTCTTTCTTTCTTTCTTTCTTTCTTTCATTTTCTTTCTTTCCTTTCTTTATTTATCTGCTTCTTTCTTTTTCTTTCTTTTTTCTTTCTTTCGTTCCTTAATTTCTTTCCTTCTTTCTTTCTTTCTTTCTTTCTTTCTCTTCCTTTGATTTTCTTTCATTTTCTTTCTTTTTTCTTTCTTTATCTTTCTTTCTTTATCTTTCCTTCTTTCTTTCTTTCTTTATTTATTTATTTATTTATCTGCTTCTTTTTTATTTTTTTCTTTCTTTCTCTTTCTTTTTCTTTTTTCGTTCCTTAATTCCTTAATTCATTTCCTTCTTCCTTCTTTTTCTTCCTTCTTTTTCCTTTCTTTCTTTCTTTCTTATTTCTTTCATTTTCTTTCTTTCTTTCTTTCTTTCTTTCTTATTTCTTTCTTTCTTTCCTTAAAAAAAGGTTACCTTTTTTTATTTTCAGCACGTTTACCTTTAACCGTACGTCTACAAACATTATTTCTTATTTATTTATTTATATCACTTTTTACGCTTTTCCTTCACAAATTCACATTTCTTTCTATTTATATCTCTCCCTGTCTTTTTCTTCCCACCAAAATTTCTTCCATCGCTGTTTTAATAATCTTCTCCTCTTCCTCCTCCTCCTCCTCTTCTACATCTCCTCCACCCCTTCTTCTACTACTTCTTTTAACATCAGCCATTCCTCCCTCTTAAATTTGTCCGGAGGAGGCTGACCAGGCCAAAATAGGTAGCTACGTGCGTGCAATAGAGATGGGCAACTAAACTGACCACGTGTCTTGCCTGATTACGGCCCGACTCCTTGTTATGTAACCTGAGATGCGGGAAGTAAATTGAGAAGGAAATCAGGAGTCATGATTTATTGCATAGACACTGGGCGTCCTGCTGACCGCTCATCACGTCTGCTGACCGCTAAATATAGATCCAAACCACATATAAACGGAGACACGCAAATAGCCAACACAACACTGACTCATAAACTTCACTGAGAATATTATATAGTGGTGTATATAAACATGCTGACATCTATGCATTTGTTTTTTATATGTATATTCATGAGCATACAAAGCTTTTACGCATATATATATATATATATATATATATATATATATATATATAGTTAGCAATCCGTTGGTATAATTCAAATGAGTTCTATTAAAACAATATAGAATTTGAAATGTTAATTATTAAATGTTAAAACTGACTCACAAAGAGCACTCACTGTTTATTTTCATTAAAGAGAGTGAAATATTTCTTACAGTTGGAATTAAGATGCCATTAGTTAATGACAATTTTCACCTACGAATTTTAAATTTATAATTCGCAGGATTTTCAAAAGTGTTTATGGTGTCAGTTTGTAGAAGGTTTTGTAGATTTGTACTATATATATATATATATATATATATATATATATATATATATATATATATTTATATATATTTTACCTGCCTTTAATGTCATAGAAATTTCGTAGAAAATATATGTCCACAGACAGGAATCAAACCTGTATCCTCCACGGAACCGTCATATGACCTGACGTGCTATACTATTGAGATACAGAGGAAGCTTCTGGTGAATAAAGTCGAATTACTGCTTTTAAACTACAAATTTACAATGATTTCCCCCAACCCTCATATCAGCTCGAGGCGTATCTTTAAACACACACACACACATATATATATATATATATATATATATATATATATTATATATATATATATAAAGAAATATAGTCTTAAAGGTGCTATATTTCTGGAATAAAGTGCTCAATATCAGAGATAGGGCGTGTGTAAATATAAAAGTGAACATATATGCAATCGTCAACCTGACGATTGCATATAGCAGGAAACAGACTGTTTCCTCTAAGTGTTGACGTCTATGTTCACTTTTTATATATATATATATATATATATATATATATATATATATATATATATATAGTCATCCACAGACATGCTGTTTCGCTGTATAACAGCTCATCAGTGTGGATAGACATCTAGGATCGAAACACGACTGAATTGGCGTCAGTCGGGGATTCTACCACTAAGCCGTTGGCGCACGGCAGGGATAAAGGGGAATTTAAGTGTATTTATTTTTAGATAAACACACAATGACCGAGAGAACTCATTTCGATTTACCGAAGAGTCTTGCATTATTAGCGGTAATAGTCACTGTTTACAAACCCACACTTCCTCCCCAGAGAGCTCAACCGAAATAAATTTTTCAGGAGCATATATTGTCATATATATATATATATATATATATATATATATATATATATATATATATATATATATTACAACAATTTTTCAGTAACAATAACTTTCTCATTTCTAGTAAATGTTATTTCTCTTTCCATTATTGAGGCTTTGAAGTTGTGTGCAACCTCATCATCATCGTGATAATGTCACTATTTCTTCTTTCATTGTTGCTGCTGGTAAAAAGTCTACAGTTGTTGTGTTCCAGGTTTGGTGTTAGTAATCTCTGATTCTATAGCAACAGTCTAATAGGTTCCCAAAAAGTTGTCTTATAAAAGGCATTAAAGCGTCATTCGCACGGAGATATTTTGAATTATTGATCAGAGTAAATTGTTATAAGGAGCCGACAGTGTATATATATATGAACAAGATTGCGATGAATGGCATGGATATGAAAGCTAAAATCTGACGAGGCTATTTGAGAATATGATTCGAGTTTTTAGTTTTATATCTTGTTATGTATCAACATATATTTAAGTTCAACTTTTCTATGTGCCGTGGCACGTCAGGAAGTTGGCGATCATGGCTCTCCACAATTTCTTCTCTTTTTTGTTTTTGATCAATTTTTCTTGTCTCTTATTGCGTAAGCCTTATTCCGCCATCGATCCAGTCAATCTCGCCAGGGTTACACGTTCTTTTCCTCTCTCTCTCTCTCTCTCTCTGGCCTTCAATCCTTCCTGTGAGTATCACATTTTCTCTGCCCTCTTTCGTCATTATGCGCCAACTGTCTCTTCCTGATGTCAAGTATCAGTATGATTTTTGTTTTCATTTCCCTAAAACCTCACCGTAGCTCATATGTTCAGTACCTGGTGTGGCACCATTTACGAGGCAGAAAAGGAAAAGAAAGAAAAGAAGTCAGAAAGAAAGGCGAGACGAATCGTCTGTGATAAGCAGAACCCACACACGGCTAAGAGACAATGAATATATTGATAAGTAACAAATGGCGAAAGGGTGTCATTACAATGACAGGGAAATTCTGAGTAAAAAGAAAGGGAAAGAAAGAAAGAATCAGATATGTTTTGATAACTGCTGTGTTATCTAGGGGTACGTAAACAAACTGCTGGTCGACTGGCCAAAGAAAAATTCAAATGAAAATGTTATTTCGATAAGTGACGAAAAACAGGCAACTAAAAAGGACTTTGGATAGATATGGAAAAATTAATCGCGACACACACGAAGTAACCACACTGACCGATTTTCTTGCCGCAGAACATCTTTATGCCTGCGATAATAAAATTATGTTATCAAGAAATGTTCGCCAAAGAAAAGTCCAATTGTAAACGTTAATTTTTATAATTGACAAAACACAGATGTAACTACAGGGCTTTGGATAGATATGGAAAAATTAAACCGATTTTATTGCCGCAGAACATCTTTGGCCTGCGATAATAAAATTATGTTATCAGAAATATGTACCGAAAGAAAATGAATGGGGACCTAGAAGTGTTTTTTCTTCTTTCTTCGATGCGACAGACTGACTGAAACTTTGGAGATGTTTCTTTTTTGAGGCCGTGTTAAGAAGACCACCCATTCTGATAATTAGCGATAAAATACCTGACAAAAACCACGTGTAGAACAAGAGTTATGACCGCCATTGTCATATTGTCCCGTTTGCGGCTAGAAAAATGATAACGGCCATTAAGAGGAAGAAAAGGGAAAGAGAAGAGATAATTTTTTTTAGTTAAGCAAGATTTTTTTTTCTTCCTGAAACAAAGCCGCGGATTCGTCCACGCCCGACTAAGACATCATTGGTCAAGTGGTGATCACTTGACGCACGAAGGAGGAGGAAAGACAATTTTTTTCCGAAACAAAGCCGCGGATTCGTCCACGCCCGACTAAGACTTCATTGGTCGAGTGGTGATCACGGGACGCACGAAGGAGGCTGTCGACGCCTCATCCAGAGTATAGGTATGAGAAGCTGCTACGAAAAAGTAGGGAGGGCAGTTCACGCCCTCTGAAGTATGGTGAGAAGGTGGGAGTGAGGAAAGGTTCCCAAAAATGGAAAAGAGTGGAAAATCCCCAACCAGAAATAAAAGAGGTGGATATGTATTTAGAATTATCGAGGAAACCCCGACGCCGACAGACCCA